AAAAGTAATAAGTGGCTAACCGACCCCAAAATCCCGTCCCCAAGAGAAAGCACATATCCCGGGTTGCCCAAAATGTTTCTTACACATTTCAATGCTTTGGCTGCCGCTGTACTCTATCTCTCTGCATTGCTTAGTTTCGCAACGGGACCATGCACAGAAAATGTTTTGTTCCAGCTAACTTGCCTCGCTTCTATAGTTTACAATGAGAGCATCATGCCATATAATGTCACGACACTCTACTCTAGTTCATCTGTCTCACAAAGGTCCGTGGCAATGAGGCAATGTGGGCTGAATCTCGTGTCGTGGTGATACCTTGTGCACGGTCAACCTCAGATTCCTTGTTGAAGTGAAGACGAAAGGGAACATCATGCCATACGTTCATGCCGTAGAGATCAAGCAGCGAAACTTCCTAACGCTAAGAATCATGCTCAAATCATGAAAAGCCATGCCTTAAGCTTTGCTGGAAACGACAGAAGTAGATCGTAACATCGATCTGAAATAAAGCAATGCCATATGACATGGAACTGTAACTGGATGATGTGCTTCGGCCATACAACAACCTGTTGTCCACACAAATAGTAGATATCATCGCAATCAGTCGGGGCTCTGTCAGGAGGCGTGGAGTGAACCCGCCTACGGCTGCATTTCCCACCAATAGTAACCGATTAAAGGAAGTTGGCACTATAATTTGGTACACAGCAAAAAATGCTGTCTAGTGGGAAAATGGCGAAAAAACGAAGTGAAACGGTCGAAAACTGCGAAGGAAAGCCTCCGTTCTTAAAAGCAATTTCGGACGAGTTTCCCGTAGGCGTGTTGCGGATAAGCGCTACGGTAGGTACGGCTGCATGTATGTACTCATATATCCATTCAGCAGTGCAGCCGCTTCATACCAATCCCTTCGCTTCATATTTTGCCTTAGCAAATGAAGCAATACGAGCATCAGGTACGGTCGTCCATTTGTGGGCGGGCGGGCGTGGTGGGCGTTTGGGTCGGTATGTTGTGGCTTGATAGGACCCTTATAAGAGTACACCCCCTGGGGAGGGCACTGCGC